ATTATCCATTTTTCATCCAATTCCCTACTTAAGGGTATCTCTAATTTCAAGAATGTCTCTCCAAGCTCAAGAAATGTTCTTTTTTTAGTTGATAAGCCAGAAATTATCATTTTTTATATATTTATTTTTTATTATTTGGTTGAGTCAAAATTTTCCAACCTAATTTTGCCAAACTTGCAAAATTTACCCACTGAAGCTTTTTCAAACCCGAGTCCCATTCAACTTGGACTTGCAAAGAATGTCCCATTTAATTAAATTTATGCTTTTCTTTTCCTTGCCTTCCCATACAAAGCTTCTTTGCTTCCTTTCCAAATTCTCCGCCATAATTTTGGGGAGCTTAAAAGACCTCATTAAAAACTGAGGCATCATTGAAATAGAGGCTTTTTTTTTCCATCCCACAAGCTTCTTATTAACATTGTCTTCTACTTTCCTGATTGTTTCTTTGGTTACTCTACCCTCAATGAGAGGGGCCCCCAAGTAGGTTTTTTTCTTCTTATCTATTGGGATTTTTATGACTCTAGACAATACTTTCTTATCCTTTTATGAATGTTTTTGGAGAAGAAAATGGTGGATAGGGCTGTTCATAAGAATGCCCAACCCGACCAAACCAATCAACCCAGACCGACCCAATCTGAGTCGGCCGGGTTTTCATCCATACTGGTCGGTTTCGGGTTGGGCACAGACCTAGAGATCTACTAGTTTGGTAGTTCCTACTTCCTAGTTTGAGTAGTTTCCTAATTCCTACTAATCTTCTACTTCTAGACTTCTACTAGAACTAGAACTCTAGAAGGCCCATTAGGCAATTACAATTAGAATTCAATTAGGTGTCATTTTTTAGTTTTTTACCTAGATTAGAATTTAGAAGGTTTCTAATTTTTTATTTTATTGACCACTTTTGTCTTCTCTTAAAATCTTCTATTCTCTAACTTGGTTGGTCCGCCCCCCTCATTCCCTCAAGCTCAACTGTTCAAGTCTCAACTTCAGTCATTCAAAGGTTAGTATTTATTTTTTTTTTAATTTAATGCATGTTACAAGTTGATATATTTTATTTGTGTTTTGTTTAAGTTTAAGCTTTGAAACAAATCCAGTTAATGATGATATATTTGCACAAAAAACTTCAGTTTTGTATGAAAAACTTAATCTATTTAAAACTTTAAGTATATATTTCGGTTTTAATTTAAATATATTTTATATTTAAAACTATTAAATAAAGATATTTCAGTTTTACATAAAAACCGAAATATCTGAAAAATTTTATATCTAAAAAAATATATATTCTGAAATATATGAGATATATATTTCCAGAAAATATATATTCCAAATTTCCAATATATTTTATTTGTACGTATATTTTTGTTTATATATATATATATATATATTAAATACATATTTCAGTTTTAAATATATTTCCAGAAAATATCTTAAAAAATAAAAACTTCAGTTTTCAGTTTTTATGAAAAACCTWATCTATTTAAATATATATTTCGGTTTTAATTTAAATATATTTTATATTTAAAACTATTAAATAATGATATTTCAGTTTTAAATAAAAACCGAAATATCTGAAAAAATTTATATCTAAAAAATATATATTCTGAAATATATGAAATATATATTCCAATTTTCCAATATATTTTATTTGTATGTATATTTTTGTTAAAATACATATTTCAGTTTTATTCGGCTTTGTACAGGGGCAAAACCGAAACCGACCCAAACCAACCCAACCCGACTCAAACCGACCAAGTTGGTTTGGCCTATCAGTGGATTGGTTTCGGTTCCCACCTTAGGTAACCCGACCAGGTCGGGTCGGTTGGGAAAATACCACTAAACCGACCCAACCCGACCCGTGAACACCCCTAACGGTGGATTTGCTAAAATTTGGTTTTTGACCAAATGCCCCAACATATCTCTCAATGATTTCCTTGATTCTTAATGCATTATCTATATTTGCCTTTGCAAACACAATACAGTCAATAGAAAATTATAGAATTTGTATCGTTGGCCCTCCTCTTGAAGGTTTAAATTCAAGGATTTCTTTATCTTTTTGGTCCCGCTTACTAAAGAGCTTACATAGTGCTTCACTGCAAAACACAAATATATACGGGGATAATGGGTCTCCCTGTCTAATTCCTCTAGTGGGTTTTGATGAGGGGTAATTTGAACCGACCTACCACACCCAAACACGTGGAAGCGACTTGCTAACTGGACGATGACTCGGCACTTCCTGCCATCTCAACAAGCTTGGTCAACTCGGGTACCTCGGGCACCTTGGCTAAGACCGAGGTCCAAGCAGCTCGTGATGGCCCGACTTGCCGAGGTGACACATAGCCAACTTCTAGAAGCTAGCCAGCTATCTCCGATCTCTCCAGAATCATGGTGCACATCTACGAGCCTTATCCTCATCCCGCACGGATCGGGCGGACTCGATAAGCCTTAACAATTGGCACGAAGTCCACCTCCTGGCGTAGAAAGGATTCCTAGTAGCATGGACTGAAGATCTCGTAGGTGTTTCGTGAGACCTACGGCATCTCACCTATATAAGGACACCAACCCCAACGTTACAAGGTACGTGCGATTTACTACTCAATAGCATACTAGCATACAAGCTTTCAGCTCGCACAACCAAGCACTAACTTAAGCATTAGAGTGCCCACATCGGGTAAGCCACCTCGGGCTCTCTAAACATTGTTTTCTTGCTGTTCGAATGGCCAGCTAAGCAACCGACATCCGAGCTGCCCTCCAACTAAGAGCATTCAGATCACGCACCATGAGGTTTCAAGGTCCACTAATGAGGCAGTTTAAAGATACACTTCATTCCTACTTTTGCAAAACTGCAAAAACCATTATAAATAATAAGATAAGGGCCTTGAGTCCAATTAGAAGCCCATAATTTTTGGGCTGGGCAGTGAATCAGAATTCAAAATTTAGAAACCTCGTCAGCTGATCAGGCTACTGATTGATTGGATTGAGTTTGTATAATTGTTACTGTTCAAAAAAAAAACAAAGAAAAGAAAGTTTGTGTAATCTATTATATATATATTAAAGGAAGGTCATCAGGCTAGAGTCCTCCCCCTTCAGACATGTGGCATCCTATTAATTCAAGGTAGTTTCACTCCTAAACATTCTCAATAGACAGCTATTTATTAGCTTAGCACATGTTTATCCATAGTCAATTAAATACAAATGGTGGGATCCATTAAAAAATTACCACAAACCCACGTTTGTTTTTAAATGATCTTTTTTCAATAAGAAAATACTTTATTAACTACAAACTTGATTAAACTTTTAGGAAACAACCTAATTTAACTTTTAAAAATAAATAACTCAAAATATATTTATTAGATAAATGATAAATACCAAATAAAATGGATTATTGTTTATGAATAAGATCTCATTTAATATCTTAAATCAAATTAAAAAAAATAAATTAATAGTGGATTTCAAACAAAATAGGTCAGAATAAATTATCAATTACAAAGATGAAAGACCTATATTAATTTTTTTAATTTAATTTTTTATAACTAAATAGTAAACTTCAAACTAAATTATACACACATTTAGTTGCCCCGTACTTAATACAGGTCATTCTCTAGTTGTTAATAACAGTAAGCCACTGTCACAAACTCATAAAATTGGAACCGAATTAAGTTGAGGTAGAACCCCCAACTCCTTGCGAATTACGAATATACTCGTGTCTCCCACATTTGAGTCCATATATATGAGCCAGAGTCCAGAGACTATGAAATTATGGAATTTGATTAATTGGGGGTCTTTCGTATAACTGGACTTGGGGATCAGTTAGGCCCATCGCGTGATCCAAGGTTATAGCCCACAGCCACATGATCATGATCTAAACTTGTTTATCTACCCTGCCTTGATTCAAATTGCACCAATCAAGATGCCGCCTTTCTTGCCGAGTCTCTTTTGATGATCCTTCCTGCTTCCCCCCTCCCATTGTTCTCTCTCATGTATTATTCTGGGTTTTCTCAACTCACACATGACACAAAAATCTGGTAAAGTTTGATCTGGTTGATTTGAATCCTACTAGTGTAATTCAGCATTTTTATCATTTATGTAGGGATCTAACTCTCCATCTCTCAAATCCCCGGGATGTCCAAGTTCAGCTTAATTCACGTCGGCATTCTAGCCATGTTCCTAGTGTGACGCAAGTTCCTTTTGCAAGAATTTTTGTGGACGGGCATTTTTTGAATCTGGCTTTGCAGGTTTTGGTGTGGCAATTGTGGACAGTGGGGTAATAGATGCTGTGCTGCTCGGGTCATCTCTCCTCGTTCTGCTATTTTCTCTGAGATTACAGCAGTTTTGGAAGGTCTCCGGCTTGCGAAGATGGTTGGCCTTTCTGCGATTGCAATCTTCTCCGACGACTGTAAGAGCCTAGTAGATGGGATCAAGAGGAAGCCTTCTTTGCTTCCCTTCCAGCTGAATGGGATGCTCCAAGACATCAGGATATCAGGAGGACTTCCCGTCTTTTTGATTGTTGCTCACAGATTAGCTCGTCCGTCCTGCCCTTCTAGAGGAGTGTGGATTGGCTCCCCTCCCTCTTTCCTTTCTAGTTGGCTAAATGCTTTGTATGGAAGTGTAAATTCAACTTTTTAAGCAGCTTCGACGAATGTTGATACTTCAATTACCAAAAAAACTCACACATGACACAACCAAGATGCAACCATCAAACCCATATTCAGACTTTTCCCTGACTGATTTGAAGTTTTGACATAAAGCTAAACTTAGACCTAGGTCCAGATTTGATTATCGATCTCCCCCTTGCACTAGAGATAACCCACCCTATTGGGTAAGGTAATCAGGACTCGGGAGAAAGGAACTGTGTATTTATGTCCTGAATTAAGAACTTGTCTTCAAACAACGTTTTAGTTTTTAGTTTTTTAATGGAAGAATAGGAGTGGAATTCAATTCACAATAAAGCCGCTTACTGAGGCAAAGTTTTGGCATTGTTAATTCTTCGAGATCGAGACTACAGTTTCTTTAGGAAGAAGTAGAACAGCTATAACTTTTACTCCTACAATTCAATAGTATACAAGGTACAAGGCAAATACAGATTTACAAATCCCCCCCTGAAAAATGGTGGGTTAAGGAATGAAATGGAGAAGGTGCCTCCACCATTGGGGAAAAGAGTAAGAAAACAGATGATGGCTAGGACAAATCCCCACGCGTACCTCTCGTCTCCCAGGGGAGTGATCTCATCCTTGGCAGGTATCTCTTCTCCGCCTCGGAAGAAGGTTGCAAACAAGCCCCACGCCAAGCAGAGTACACTTCCACCGAGTCCACCAATTCCAAGCAGAAGTGATGTCCCAAAAGACAGAAGAGTCGTAATGTTCCTTCCAAACAAAGCTTGAGCAATGCGACCTCCTTCAAGTCTCCCACAAGGCAATAGGTTCAAAGACGTCACCACAATTCCTGCACAGTTTGGTATAGCAGATTCATTTACTAAAATACCAAAAATCCTCATCATATCACTTCTAAGTCTTATCTTCATTGGTGAGCACTTCTACCAAATTACACAGGAAGAGAGCAACTGATATGGCGCAACAAGAAATCCATTGATCAAATGATTATGATGGGTGGCCCATTTGTCCTGTCACTCCGTGAACCCTGAGGTAACTGGAACAAAGTATCCTAAGAAACTTACCTAGAAGTCCAGCAAAAGCAAGAGGGTCAACAGGGACACCAACCCCTTCTACTGCATACGGAAAAACATTCCCAAGATCATCCGCATAAGGTCCAATTACAAATTGGATGAAAGAAAGCAAAGGGTTATTGTAGAAGAACTGTGGCCTTATATACCTGCATAGCAAACAAGGAGTGTTTAAGAAAGTTATGCAGGTCTTGGATTTAGATTTTGAAAATGTAGTTAGAATACCCAGAGATTCAACCTATGTCTCAGCCTATTTATTAAGTCAATTTAGGCTATGTTTGTTTCTATGTAAAATATGGAATTTTTTTCAGTCTGAAACATTTGAGCTATACTTTTGACTCTTCAATGAAAATTTTGTTTTCCTCACAATTTACATAAAAAAAAAGTTAGAAAGGAGAAGAAAACAAAGTTTTTATTGTTAAATGGTTGGAAATTTAGTTAAAATATTTCATTTTGAAAAAAATTTACATCCATTTTACAGAGAAGCATGTGCAAAATGGCAGATCCAAATTTGATTATAAACAGATCAAATCCGGATCACCTTAATTGATTGGTTCAAATTTGAATTAAAATAAAGGGATGCCATTTGCAGCCTTACTTGGGGAAGTCATCTGCCATATTGAATATGGATCCACCCCAATCCAATCAGAATCATAATATTTAAACACTAAAGAGTCACAGGTCGAAGTCTCATAGAAGTTAATTTCAAGCCATTTTAATTATCATATACAAAATCAAATTCATCTTTACTTTACTTTATTAATAACATAACATATAATGTTCTAACCAATTTAGTTTGATTTAGTAACCACATTCAATATTTGAACCCAATCTACACCTGGTGGATAAAATTTTATTAGTATTCCAATATTAACTAATCAAATTTGGATCTAGAAATATCCAATTTTTTTGGAGCCCCATTCCCAAGTCAACAGTTATATGAAATGTGTCATCTTTAATAGAAAGAAATACGACAGCCTATACATATTACATGTATTCTACGAATAAATTTTATGTTTTCCCCTTAAAATAATGACGATTTCTACTCAATTCATGATTTTTTCCAAGACACACAAGTATCACAGCCATCTGAGTAAATGCCAGACTTGTAGTTAACGATTTCAGCTTAGGTAGATTACTTAGCAATAACAGAATAAACTGCTTGAAGAGCAAAACTTACAGAGCATTGTCACCTCCATTAAAGCTTCCATCAACCACAAAAGCTGCAACTGCAAGTGCTAGTGACATCAAATATGCACTACCTGTGCGTGCAACAGGAATATCAAAAAGAGCTTTCTTATTAAGCAGTAGGGATTCATAGTTATTTATCACCCCTAAGCATCCTGTCCAGTTAGATGGAATGAGAAAAGATGGACTAAGCTTGACACCATAGCGAGCTGCTGTTACTCTTGTTACAATCTGCAAAATAAATAAATAAAAAGTTAATAAGACCAGCAAAATGCTGAAAAAATTATATAAACAGACGGATTCATATAACCCTGGGCCTTAACTCTTGGTTTTTGTGATGGTAAAATTTAACATGATCCAAATCGGAAAATCCAGCACAATGATAACACGGCATAAAAATTCTTTTTCTAATAGAATTGGGACCAAAGAAATGGATTTTCAACTGAACCACAATGCAGCATAAGACACAAAAAAACTTAATGCATATAATTTAAAAAGAAAAGAAAATAATTTTACTATCATTAGAGCTTATCTTCATATCAGATTAAGAGCCATCTAACTTTGTTCAGTGGCAACAAAGCAGATGGATCAGTTATAGTCAAATTTCTAGACATGCCATCAAGGAGGTTGACTCCTGCACAAAGATGGTTGAAAAGAAATTCTTCTACAGCATCCCACACAAACTAGTATCTAACCTCTCCTCCAGTGCATAATGATGGAAATACATTCTTAATATAAGGCATATTCTAGAATAAAAACCATTGCAAATTGCCCAATTATGACGATGAGATTTAAAATCTGCAAAATATCATTTGCCAATCCTGTGATGATCGTCTGTAAGGTTATTGATAAGGCTCTAGTTGACATGAGCACATACATGGTTCAGTTTCTTTTTCTTGTAGCAGACCCAGAGCTCTCACACAGAGATTACAGGTAATGCAGAAAACAGACTACCAGTGAAATCATTCAAAAGATTGCATTTTGCATGCAGGGTAGGTTTCAAAGAGATGAAATTAAATTTAAAAAAAAAAATACTACCCCCTCCAAGTACATTAGCATTAATCCTGATTCCATGACTTGTAATTTTATGAAACTAAGAGCTACCATTATGTGCATACATGGGGGGTTAGTCCTATATCCAGTCCATCTTCCCAAGACCCCGTCTAGCCACGACAAGCATTGGGTAACAGCCTTCTAATCCCTCCATCAGGACTTGAGTTTGGGCTTTAACATGAATTCTTCAGAAAATTAATGGTGGAAAACTTAAACAAGTTACCTCATATATAGAAAATAAGGGGCAGCAACAGAATTGCAATAGGTTTGATAGAGAAGAAAATGGGACATACCTCAGAAACTCCCAAAATGGAAAGGAAGCCAGAAAATAGAGGCACTACATCAGCCAGGTAGTCATCAATTGTGGCATCAGGCTTGAGGAAGAAGCCACTCATCAAAGCTATTGTCCCAAAAGTTGCAACACATAAGACTACTGCACTGACATAACCCCAGGGAGTGCTCAGCTTGGTAGACTCAAATTGGAGATCTATTTCTGTTTTTGGCTGCACCACACAAACCTGAAAGATGACATGTTCCTGCTTCAATACCCATTGTCAATGACAAGCATCTTATAAACAGCTCTTCTTTGAAACCAAGAAACATTATTTTCTATCTTTCAAAGATTTTGCACCAACCAAGAGGTGATTCAGCAAATTTATGCATAGACATGCTGAAATCTGTTATCACGCCAGGGAGATAAGAAAGTCTAGCCCAGAGTAAGTGAAAGAAATAACTATATGGTATATAGTTCGATATTTTAGAATCCTCAACAAATTAATAATGAGTTCGAGCGCAACTACTTTCAACCTTGAAATTCAAAGCCACCAATGCCTCCGAAGAATAAATTCTTACTCACTTTCCTCAAATTTATCTACCTGCTTTGTTATGTCATCCTTTTTCTCCTCTATCAACCATAGAACGACTTCCCTGCCAGAAGCATCAGAAAGCTTTTTCTCCAATTTGGGTACGACTTCTTCAATGGGTCTCCTCAAATTCCCAATAAAAATCCCGCCATCACCAAATCTCCGAACATCAGTGGCAAAGAATGTATCATACCCGAAACAGCTCTTTAACTGCCACACAAAAAAATAATAATAAATAATAGTTTAAGAGCAACAAATGATCGTTCCTTTTTTTTTATTCTCTTCATAGTCGATTCACATGAAACATAAAAGAGTAAAAGTGTAATACAATTCACATAAGATGATACATTCCTATATCTAGTTGACATTCAATTTCTATTTTAATTAGAGATTTAGGAAATTTATTAGAACAACGAATGGTGTGACTTGAGATCTCCTAACCAATTTCTCTATTTCCATTTATTCTTAACATAAAATAGCAAACTTCATGCAATGTAAAACTAAGACGAACAAACCTTGTTAAGATCGAGCGCTTTGAAAGATTCCTCTGCTTTCTCCAACCTCTCTTTCTCTTTGGTCAAACTATCACGGGCTACTCTGTTAAAGAATCCCACAATTGGGTTCGTACTGGTTTCTCTATCAAGCTCCTTGAGCTTCCGATCAGCTCTCTTCTTCTCTAGTTTTATTGCGGCTTCGATCGAAGGGTTTCCCATGAACTTCTTGAAATCTTCGTCTGTCTTCCAATCCAACTCCTGCTGCTTGGTTATCTCTTCAGAACCCAGTTCCTCTCCTTCACTCAATTGCCCCTGGACAGAAGACTCACTCTTGTCGGTTCCATCGCTGCTAGGTTTCTCTGGAACTATAGCAACAGAAGAGGAGGGCGAAGGGGGCTCGTTCTCTTGTTCTTCTTTGATAGAGAACTTCAGCCGTTTTCCTGAATTGGGTTTGAGAAATAAAGAGGACAGGTGAGTCTTTTGGCCAAATGGATGTTTAGATAGAGAAGAGGCCAATGAAGTAGGGGTTTTGCGGAAATTCCAGATAGAAGAGGACGTGAGAAACAGGGTGGCCATCGAAGAGGATGCAGGAAACACGATGAGGGAGGAAGATTCATGCTGTGGTTCCGAGAAGCGGAAATTTTGATCGGAGAAGAGATGTATCTAGACAGTTGGAGAAATTATTTTTTCTTTTTAGGTGGTGTTATACAAGAATAATTCTTTATTTTCATTTATTTTGCCATATCAGCAAAAATTTGAAACATATTTATTAATTGTATTTTTGTTCTGATAAGTAAAAATAAATTGGTTTTGTTTAGAAAAACCTCTCATGTTTTTTAAATCACCTAGTTAATGGTTTTAAAATAAAAAATAGATCATCAGATTAAAAAAATTTTTTCAAACCAAAAAAATTAAAGAACATGTTTGGTCCAGTTTGCAAAAAAAAAACATGTACAATCAAGAACATATTTTTTATTCAGACTAGACAGCTATAATTTGTTTTTTAGAACTCACAAGTCACGATTAAGAAAAAAAAATCACATTGGGGAACACTCTTAGCAGACCGAGCATATTTGTATTTGCATTATAAACTGATTTGGGATGAAATTGTCCTTTGATGATTTCATCACAGTTCCTAACTTCCTATCCACATAAACATGTGCCTAAGTTTGGATCCATAGTTCTAAGTTTGGATCCGATACCGTTTTCTTAAAAATGGCATCACATCAACGCCTAATTTGAAATTGTTTTCTTAGATATGATGAATTTCATGGGGGAATTGACTACAGTCTACACAGGGGGCGACCCCACCACCGAAAACCCTAATCATTCCACAAGTCCATTCTGAGAAAACTTTTTCTTTTCGCCATTATTGGTAACAAATCCGTGGGCCGAATATCCCAAAAAAATGCTCGGAGTCAGGTAGATCTGCATGTCATAAATCATAATCGGTAACATAGTTTCAGTAAACTGGAGGCAGGAATAGAGAATTGTCCGTCGAAGTTGAAATAGACTTCAAAACTGTTGAAAGTGAGATTATTCTAAGATCGGGTAGTTCTGATACCAAATTCTTGGAATCGATTCCCACCCAGGCTGATTCTAGGATCTAGAAGTTTACCCTACCCAAATCGATTCAATGAATTATTCTTGATTGGCTTTGTTGGAACTAATCTTGGTGGAACCTGTCTTGAGATCGAACTTGTCTTGAAATAAACCCCAAAATATTTTTAGGGATGTAAAAATTTGAATCTAAGCATTCATGGTTACAAAGGTCATGGTCACACTTGACTATTGAATTACTTTAAGTGATTTAATCATTTGCTTTTATGTTAATACCTGAATATGTATAATAAGTAATATAAAAAATAATATTTATAAATTTAAACTATAAATTTTGAACAATATAATGATAGTCTACATATTAATTTATTCAATTTAATCAATAAAAATAATACAAGTTTTAAACTATATATATCATATTTATTGAAAATAAAGTTTTTAAAGAACATATTTTTTTTTCAAGGGTGAGAGTAAAAAAGAATAGGTTCCACGGACAAAACCTGAAACCGGCCCCAAAACCATTAAGGTCAGAATCGACTCTGAAACCAACCTTTATAAAGTTCCAATTCCAAACTGAACCACATGCTCACCCATGGCTTCATACTCAATATATATGTGCCTCAATCCTGCATATGGTCCGCAATCGAAGATAAAAGGGTTTTAGCCCAAGGATACATTACGAAACTGGGGTTTCATTGAATCTAGGGACTTCTATTTTACTAATATTCACGGGGGGAGGGGTAAGAACTTAGGCCTAAAACCTTGGGGTTGCAATTGGCAGGGTTGGTATCTAACCCGCAACCCGTTAATGACCGACTTCAATGAAACTAAATGGGTTGAGTTTCTATCCATCCATCTAACAATTTTAGTTTTGTAAAAATATGGTGTGAATTTTGAAGATCAAAACCACCTATTTATCCGGAGCACATTACAGATTACAAAATATGGTTTGAACTTTTATTCAGGTGTTTTAAGTAGTTACATTACAAATTACGAGCATATAATGGAAATTAATGAGATAATAACTGTTAGACATTAAGTTGGAAAGAATATCAAGAATAGAATAAAAGGAGTGAGAGTAGACCAGAGATGTATTTTCAACCTCTGGTTGAATCGGCCAACTGAACTAGTTGACATTTCCAATGGTTTAATGATTGGGTGATTTCAACCGGCCAATTGGACTTGACATTAACTCTCTTTCAAAGTCGATGATAACAAGACTCCAATCCTCATCTCCACCAGAACAAACACTACAAAGAAAAATGGTTTAAGCCGGCAGTTTTAGAGACCGCCGCTCTGGAGAGAGTTAAAGTGGCGTTTACAAGTTGAGAAGATCGATTTTCAGTCCATTCCTGTTTGGTTTGTGGAAGACCTAGGCGCCAAAAGATAGTGCGTCGAAAAGACAGGAAAAACCCATTTCAGACTAATTTTGGGAAGCTTCAAATGAAATTTTTCGCGTATTCCGTGTTTTATTCTCGCATAGAAAGACACTGAAAGATGCATTGAAAGACGTGCATGTGCCAAACATGCTTCGGGCTGCTCAAAAGCTCAATGTATCTTTTACAAGTCAGAGCTACCAGAATATCTTCCCAAAAATATGCACCAAACGGGCCTATAGCAACTCTACCGCAGTCTTTATAACTTGTACGATGATTTTTTCATTAAACTGGACTTGAGCTGGTCTAAATAACTCACTTGTCAACTTGCATATGAGATGTTAAAAGCCAAATACTCTCACCACGTACTCCTACGTTCTCTTACCTCCCACTATCAACAAAATTTTGTTGCAGGGAAATCGAAGAATAGTTTTGATGAAGAAGGAAAAGATCGATCTCTTTCTCTCTTAAAATCTTCTTCTCAATAGTTGCAGGGGTGAAGGGCATCATCATCATCTTCTCTCATTTTAGGGCATAAATCAGTGAAGGAAGACAGACACAGGTACCTGTGGTTTCAAACTCCCGTTTTAGGGCATATATTCTTACTTGCTTTTTCTTGCTCGGTTTATAGTTTTTGGCTTCACTTGTAATAGCATTTCATATATATATATATATATATATTCTTTTTCCATATTCTGTGATCTGTAATTCTATGTTTGGTTTCATGGGAAGTCGAGGTTTATTGAAATTTTGGGTTTAGAGGTATTGGGGTATGATAACGATAAGTCTTCCAGCAGTCCACGTACACCTTAGTTGTTAGGATATACTTTATGTCTATCTCTCTCCCTTGTTATCACATTATCATATCCTCTCTCCTTCTTATCATTTCTAGAATTTGTTTTGTAATTGAACTCTAATTCTACTATTATAAATACAGTCCTCAGTCATCGTATTCGGAGTGAGAGTCTTTTTCAAAACCTGTGTACTTTGGTATGGTATCAGAGCAAAACCTCGGTCCAACCATGTCAAGTAGCAACACCGCCACCACTACTCAAAATTTCCAAACCCAAAACCAAAATCCAAGGCTATCCAATGTAAACTTCACTCATCTCGTCACAATGAAGCTAGATAGGAACAACTATCTACTGTGGCACTCTCAAGTCTTTCAAGCTCTCAAAGGGACCGGATTACTTGGATATGTAGATGGGTCAATCCCATGCCCAACCAAATATCTCACCGTCATCGCCAATAGTGAAGAGTCAGTGACCAGTTCCAACAACATTCACAACCCAGCATTTACCATATGGGAAAAATAGGATGCCCTCTTACTAAGTTGGCTTTTGTCAACATTAACAAAAACTGTACTTGGCCAAGTAATTGGGTGCACCTCATCAGCAATGTTGTGGAAATCATTGGAAAAACACTTTGCCTCCAAATCACAGGTCTGAGTGATGCAACTGCATGTTAAGTTACAACATCTCAGAAAAGGTTTGCTATCTATGGCTGATTATCTCCAGAAAGCCAAATTTTTGGCTGACAGCCTCGCTGTTGTTGGTTCTCCTATATCTGAATTTGATCTTAATCTTCGAATATTGATGGGTCTAGGACCCCGACTATGAGGCATTTGTCACATCAGTAAGCACTCGCTCTGATGAATTGTCCATCGAGAAACTCAATGGAATGTTGTTAAATCATGAACTCCGGAAATTGGATTCGAATCCGGTCCATTTAGTGCCAATACAGCCTTTCGTGGGCCCAACAACAACAATAACAATAAGTCCCATGTCTCCCCAAATCAGTCCTCTCAATATGGATGACCCAACCCACCATGGGAACATGGTTAAGAAAATTATTCAAAAAAAGGGACCAATGGTCCTAATAATGGCCAACCTTCAGGCCCACAACGACCTTCAAGCCCATGTCAAATTTGCAAGTACAATAAATTGCTACTTTCATTATGAGAAGAAAGGAGAAGGACTCAAATCAGCCTTTACAACATCCTCCAACTCCTCTGCTGATCATTTTCTGTTTTTTGTGGTATCCGGACTCCAGAACTACAAATCATCTCACTGCCGATTTGAACAACTTAAAGCCGCATTTCGAGTATACGGGTACTGATCAGATCAAAATGGGTAATGGGACAGGTTTGTCAATCCACCACACTGGTTCTACACTCATTCCCAACCCCATTCGTCCCTTGATTTTGAAAAATGTTCTTCATGTTCCTTTAATTATCAAAAATATACTTTCAGTTGGGCAATTTTGCCATGATAATGATGTCTTTTTTAAGTTCCATGCTAACTTTTTTGTTGTAAAGGATTTCTAGTCCAAGAAGATTTTGCTCCACGGGTGGAATAAGAATGGTCTTTATCAGTTAGATCCAGGAGGATTCCTCAACTCAGTTCTAATTTTGCTTTCAAAGACAATAAATTGCCTTTTGCTTCTACGAAACATTCTTCTTCTGAACCTCTTTCATTAATTTTTGTGGACTTATGGGGACCAGCCCCAATTTCTTCTCATGGTTTTAAGTATTACATTTCATCTGTTGATGATTTTACCAAGTTCACTTGGACCTATCCGTTGCAAATGAAACTATGATTGAGAAACTTTTAAATTCATCCATCAAGGCTCTCCAAACTGATGATGGTGGAGAATTCCGTAGTTTTAAGCCCTTTCTTCTCCAACATGGAATCGTTCATAGATTGACTTGTCCACACACATCTGCCATCACAGATCCATCGTTGACATGGGCCTCACA